CTTATCCAAACTTTCAGGCTTTTCCCAGCTGTCATTAACAGATGTGGTTTTTTTTTTTTTTTTTTGGTTAGTACAGGTCATTGCACTACTGCTTAGCCATGCCCCCAGCCCCTAAAAGATGTTTTAAAGATGACTATACTAAACTTAAAAAAAAAAAAAAAAGAGCCAAAGTGACTTCATTAAAGATATGTTTTTCATTTATTCTGAATCTTATATTGATAGATAATATCAGACGATTTTCAGCATAGCAGATAATATACAGCAAATCCTAACCAGCAAAGGTTTTAGTGACAAATGGGCCCGTTCCATGGATTACTTTATCAGGTAAGTACATTTTTGTTTTTCTAAGTGTTCACATTTCTTTACTGTGATACCTTCAGATTAAAGGCTTTTAAGCGGTATAAGGTGCTACCTGGAAGAGTTATTGCATAGCACTTTCCATGGCATGGAATAGTATTTGGTGTAGAGGCAAATTAGCTGCAGCAGAATGAAATTTCTTTTTTTTTTTAAGAACAGTCCAAGCCAGAAGATTGCCTTTGTTAATGTGTACTGTGGTGTTTACAAGTTCCTCTCTTCCTTCAACCCAATTCTAGCTTGCCCCTTCATAGCCCATAAGGTAGAGAAATCTTAATATGTGTAACTGGATTTGGTTCTTTATATTTCCTTACTGGGAATAGCTTTAAATAGATCTTAAGCATGGAATGTCAGTTTTAATAACTGATTACCTATTTAGTAATAGTTGGTTTGTAGCCTGAGGCAAGTTCTATACATCTTGAGTAAAAGGATGTCATAATTACCTGGGCTATTTAGACCGAAATCTGTTTTCCTTGACCTAAACAAGTATTATGAAAATGGAGTAAGGCTTCAAGTGTTACTCAGGTACATCAATCTGTGTTCCTTGTTCTTACTCATATGACACTTTCAGTTTTTGGCTATTTAGCTAGTTTACTCATGAAAGTATCTATGTTCTATAGCTTGAATTAAGAATGGGGGTAGATTGTTATGAAAGTCCTTGGTTTGACTTTTTTGAAGCTGGAAACATATAACGTAGGACAAATCGAGTTTGTTTTGTTGGCTGGCTAGCAGGACTACTAAGTCTTTATTAGATATTAATCTTAGGAGTAGAACACTATTCATAACTACCTACAGTTTGATTTTTCAGACATTTTAATTCATCTGGACCTCTTCCTCTGGGCCAGCCTGAAAATAATCTCAGATCTAAACAGAAATGTTATACCTTATTTCCCTTCAATCTTACTAAATTTCTTCAAGGGGCAGTTGGCTAAGAAGTCAAGTTGGACAAGTAGAGTATACTGATTTCCACAGAGAGAAACAATGTATATTTGATTTGAACAGCTCAGAGAATGGGTATGTGAAGACTGGTTTCTTCTATCTGAAATTCCAGACAGCCTGTTGAATCAACATGTTGAAATGGAAGAAGTGCCAATGAGTTCTGAAGCCTGGCATAGCAAAAATCTTTAAGATAACTTAAGTCAAATCTAATTTAAGACACGTAGGCTATGACAAAAGGCACCAGAAACCTTAACTAAGGTTTCTTTTATAAATTTAGTTGGGGAATAATTTCTGTAGATTACTGTTCGGAGTGGGTGGGTGTGTAAGTAGGCTCATATATTCATGTATTAGAATTTACAGATCTGTATATCATTACATGCTACAATTTAGCTTTTCAATACCACCCTTTTTGGCTTTTTCTCTCCCTGGCAGGTTGCTACATAGATTCAATGCAGAAGATATCCATTTTTCCTAGCTGTCTGGAAAACAGAATTTTTCAAGGTCAAGATAAAAAGGATTATCTGTTTCTAATATTTGAGAAGATAACTATGCTTTACTCCACTGGGTCATTATTTGCTTGTCTATTTTTCATTTACTACTACTGCTGTATCACTGACTTTCCTGTATTTTTAAGGTGGTCAGTTATAAATACCCAAGCTTTTTTGGTTTTGGTTTGTTCGAATATAATACATAGGGCAGGATCCAATCTGTACATAAATCTTCAAGAGCCACAGGTACGCACAACCTTAAGCTTATCATTCCTGACAGTTTATTGTATAAAGATGTTGCTCTTTTTCTACTTACTGTGTATATGCTGTGAGATCCTTTAGGCCTTTAAGCTCAATCCCTTAAGTAAAGTGAAAGTATGTTCAGCTAGTCATATATTTTCCCGTATCATTTGTTCTTGCTCACATTTATAGTAAAATAGTTTTTGATGTTAATTTGCTTCTTGTTTTTTTCCTCATTTATCCTATATAACTTGTTCTATTAGTTACCTGTCTCTTCAGCTATCCTGCTGCAGCATAAACTCATGAGGGTTCTGGATAAGTATAAGCCTGCTGCCATCATGTGGTGTCATGCATGTTCTGGATGTGACTCCTTACTCCCTAAAATGAGGAATTCAACTGGATTGAAATTAACAAAATTATGTCTTTTCTTAGGGAGACAGTCACTTGCTAATTTTAAATTTAGAAAAATTGCAATGGGTTTAAAAAAATCAAAATAGGTTTCCAAACCTCTGCTTTCAGCTACTTTGCCACAACTATAGGTTCCTGCTATTTATGACTTCTGGATAATTAAAATTTCCAGTACCTAGTGCTTATTTTTAAGCTATTTAAAAACTGTCAGATTGAGAAGTTTAGTCAATGTCACAAACAAATTTTATTAGCTACTATGTTTAAAATCAATGTAATACTACACAGTCATATTCTAATAAAGAATAGTAGCTATTTCATTTATGTAAGAAAATTATATCTTCATTAATATTTGGCTTGTTTTATACCTAAAGTTTAATAGAAGTGTTTCCAAATAGTTTAGCAAACGTGCATTGAGTAAACTTAGAAAGAAGGTAAATTGTTTGCCTAAACAGATTTTTTGGGGGCAGTACTGGGATTTGAACTCAGGGTCTTGTGCTTGCTAAGTAAGTTCTCTACCACTTGAGCCATACCTCCAGCCCTAAATAGATGTTTTTTGAAATCTGACTTTAAACTTACAGTAAATGCTACTGTATAATTAAAACAACGCATATTCTTAACAGACATCAGCTTTCAAGTCTAAGTACTAAAGAATGTTTAATCCAGAACAAAAAAAAATTAAACTGACTTAGCTGCATCAAGCTACTTTTGTTATGTGAATGTTAAATATACTTAAGGATTGATATTTTTTTAAAAATCTCACAAAACTACTTTGCAAAGTTCACTTGTACCATCTGTATCCTTACAGAAAACAAATTTAAGATTTAATTCAGCTTTCTTAGGTTGTTTCCCTATCCCCTGTGAGCTGCTGCTGAGTTTTATTCTCTTTTTCTGGCCTTCGGTTAATCTGAAGGACCACATTATACTACTTCCTAAGATATTTTCTGGTACTAATGTTTGAATGTCTTGACTACTGATCAGAATGAAGTCATCATAGTATTTAAGGCAGCATATTTGTTTATAAAAAAGATCTTTCAAAGATAGTACCCACCTAATGCAGATAGAGCTAATCTGTTGTGCTTACAGGGAGCAAATTTCACATCTTTACTGCCCCTTACAGATTGGTCAGTCTTAAAAACTACATTTTTAAACAGCCTATGTAAGGACAATAAAAACAGTTCTCCATTTTTTTCCTTTTGTCTTTGAAATAAACATAGTGTATCTTACAACTGCAAGAAAACCTGAGTTCCTTCCAAAACAAAAGTGTCTGTGTTGAATTAAACTATCTCTAAACTCATTCCATTTCATTTATTAATAAGCATATTGTGAAAAAAAATCTACATTTGTTACAGATTTCATGTTTACAGAGCTTTTCACCATGGTATTAGGATTTCTGACAGCTACCCTCTTGAGTTATAAACAGTGAAGTAGAGAATTTGGCTCATGTGACTCTCTATTCATAGCTTCCCTTTGGTTCATGAATAAGCTTGTAGTTCCCTTGAGTAAACAATAATAAGATATCCTTGGGAAGTTTTTTTTATTAATCTACTCCTGGACTAGGAACTGAGGGAATACTCCTAGAGAGATATATAAATCTTTAAACACACTATTTACATGAAAAATGGCCAGTTTTCTTTCTTAAGAGTAGCAATTTGTAAAAATCAGTGCTGTCATTTAAAGAGTAGACCACCAGACTTTTGCTGAGAATGCAGTGTTCTCCCTAAACCATATTGAAACATCACACATTAGGTACTGGATGGAGCTAGGTGAGACCTGCCTTTTAAGGCAATGTCAACTCTTTCTCAGCTTAATTCTCTTCCAAGGGAGTTATGTACTGTCTACAGTTCATTTAAACTAACTTCTATTATGAATTACTTTCAATGTACATATATATGCTCATGCATCAGAAGCCAATTTCCTTCAACAGTACATACAGAAGGTAAATTCTGAGGTGCTAATGAACACGTCAACTTAAGTAATGGTATTGGTAAGGATCAAACTGAACTATTAAATTTTTTAATACCACACTGGCACGCACACTGCATATATGTATTATCCTAAGATAAAACTCTTCTCAGAATTTCGTTACTTTTTATTATACACCAACTAGTTTATATTTTAGTTTTTTTACAAAGAAAATGCTAAGAAAATTATAATCACATGTTATATGGTTTTAAAAATCATAATTCCAGATTTCTTTACATGTAAGTTGGAGTGGTCCAGCAGCTATGTCCACTGTCACAGACTTTAGTTCCGTTCGATGATATGGCACATCCTGCAAAATTAACTAATCACACAAAAAGTCTCAAATACAGTAAAAATGTACACACAGTAAGGTAATTTACAATGACATAAGGAATGTAATTTATCTTGGCTGTGCTTCAGAAATTTAGGGTCAGTAGCCTTAGTCAAGGCACAAGAAGATGAGCACAGCTGTCTCTAGAGTGGCAAGGTATGTACAATCACTGATGAGGTATGCATGCACGCAAAGTATTTAAAACTGCTCAGTCTTGCTATGAAAATTGAACTGAGTTAAAGGAAATGCTGAGGCTTTCTCCTACCTCCACTTCTGGATCAAGTCCACAATCTTATTTAATCAAATGGAAAATAAAATTGGCAAGGAGCTCCAAAAGTAAATCACTATTTGGGTAAATGAAACAAAATACTTCACTAATCCCAATTCTTGGTTGTACTTCCTGGATTATAAGCATTTTGTAGACAAAGGAGTTTTTTCACAAAATTGAAATGTCATTTAGGTGAAGGACATTTCTCACAGATACTTGAATTTTAAACTTTCAAATGGCCCTTACAGCTGAACCATTGTATGTTACACTAGTGAGGGTTCGGGGATCCTTTAGCAATAAATTCCAATTTAAAGGGCACGGGGTCTTTTCGGGTTAATTTGCTTGCTGGCTTGTTCTTCTTCTTGTAGAGCTGCACGAAAAGATTTCACTTTATCTTGGAAAAAGCAAAGAAACAGAATAAGTATCATATGTATACATCATATATGTACATATACACAATATATAACTATTGGTCCTATCAGTAACTCTCTTAGAACAATAACTTACTATTTTTCCTTTTGTTCTGTGTTTAGAATCTCAGAACTAAATACGTTGATCAACTGTATGACGTTTCATGATATATTCCTGCAAAAGCCTATTTTTTCTATATGTTTCTCCTTTGTTAGGTACATTTTACAGAGTTTAGTTTTAATTTGAATTATTTTGAGAGTACAGACGTGCTTTACATATGTGTATGTGTGTGAGTACATATGTATATATAGTATGTATAGTCCTACATGTATAGTCTTATCTAAAAAGAACAGAGTCTTATTAAACTGTAAAATAGATATTCTTTCTCTCAATATTAGGAAATTCCTAGTCCCAGTTCCTCCCTCACCTTTTTTTTTTTGGTGGGATTTGGATTTGAACTCAGGACCCCTAGCCCATTTTGCTCATTATTTTGGAGATGGGGGTCTCTCTAACTGCCTGCTTGGGCAGGCCATGAACTGCAATCCTAATCTCAGCCTTCCAACTAGCCAGGATTACAGGTGTGAGCCACCAGTGCCTACCTACCTCTACCTCACCTTTTTTTTTGAAAGATAGCTGAATTTAAAAGACACTTGTTTATTCATCAGGGATTGCAAAATGAGATGACAGGCAATGCTTTCTCACTTTTACACATTCTGTCCTGCCGTCTACCATATACTAATCTAGAGTCATGAGAATTAGAAATACATTAGCAAATTGTCAGAGGCAAATTTTAGGGAACTGAAAAGATAAGACATCTTCCTATAACAGTGGTTCTCAACTGGAGGTGATTTTTGCCCCCTCCCCAGAAAACATTTATTAATGTTTAGAGATTTTTTTGTCACAACTGGTGTGGTGGTGCCACTGGCTTCTAGTGGATAAAGACCAAGGATGCTGGTAAACATTTTACTATGCACAAGACCATCCCTCAACAAACAGTTGCTGGCCCACAATGTTCATAGTGCCAATGTTATATATAAAACTCCTACTCTAGGCTGGGGATGTAGTGAGCTCAGTGGTGGAGTATTTCCCTACCATGCATGAGGCCCAGGGTTCACTCCCCAGCACTGGAAAAACCAAAAAAAAAAAAAACCAAAGAAAACCCCAAAAACAGAAAACCGTACTCTAACCTTCAGAAGAAAAGGAAGATAGCAAATTAGAAGCTCAATTTCTTTCCTCTCTTCAGAAGAACAATGATGTTATTTTACAAAGTTAACTTCTGAATTAGAAAGAAATTTAAAGACTTCTGTATCTGGTGCTTCTTAATATAATAGCTCTTAAACTTCTCATAATAATCCAAAATTATCTGGATATGGTTAAAAAAATTCAAAGACCAAATAATGCATTATCTAGATAATAATTTTTTCAAAGTTGTGGATATGCTTGACATGCGTGGAATCTGAGAAAATTAAGGAAAAGAAATTAAAGTTGAATGCCACACATTATAAGAAAAAAATATTAGAATGCAGTAGGGTACATTATGATCTTCTAAAATGCATACAGAAAAGCTGACTTTGAATTATAGATTAGGAAAATCATCAAAAATTTAGATCAAGTCTTGAATATGAACAACATGAAAAACAAATGTAAACTTCAGGACAACAGTCACTGAGCCTTACAGGACCTGATTTCTAATAACCAACTTTATGATGGGCCTCTTTTGAAAAATTAAGTAGCCTAGTTGCTGCTAAAAACTAGGAATTTCAATCTGGTTTCATGATGAATTGTGTACAAACACAGAAGATGCCCACTCACACAGAACCGATATTAGTATGTATAAAAAGTATGTATTTGAAGATATGCAGATTAGCGAATTAAAAAGCCAAAAGAAGGGCTAGTGGAGTGGCTCAAGTGGTATAGTGCCTGCCCAGCAAACATGGAGGCCCTGAGTTCAAACCTCAGTACCACTCAAAGTTAAAAAAAAAAAAAAAAGTCAAAAGGAAACAGTGTGTCAGTAACCCACATGCTTGTCTTCATGACAAGCTTCCCTTGACACCTTCCCTTTCAGAAATTTTTTTAAAAAACTGTTTTAAGAAAAAAACATGACCCAAGACAGCACTGAAAGATGAAGATAGGTTATTGAAAAGTGACCCTGAATAAGCCTAATCAAAACAGAATAATTCTGACAAGCACAGGCCTATCAAGCTAAAGACTTGAATGGGCATATAAAATTTTTGAGTGTTAAAATACATGTATCCTCCTAATTATAAGGTATTTTTATCTTAAAAGACTAAAAGAAAACATGACTGGGGGAACTGAAAATGAAAATGTTTAGAAAGAAAACAATGGTTTATATCTCTGGAAAGAAGTTACTAAATGGTGCCCATATTTTCACTTTAGATGTCCTCTTGCAATATAAAAATTCCCCACAAGTATCTACCCCAAGACCAAGCAGATTTTTGTACCAAATACTAAGATAGAAGAATTACCTCGCAGTTCAGTTAAAATGTCTATTTTTTGCTCAAGAATAGCTTCGAGTTGTGTAGCATATGAATCCACATCATAGTCAACTTCTTCAGTCATCTCTAAGAGGGCCTTTTCATCTTCTAACCAGCGAATAGATTCCTAAAAAGAATAATATTCTAAAAACTTCGTAAAACACATACCAATTTACAAATCCTGCTAAATGTAATCAAATACACTTAACTTATTATTCTCTAATATATTAACAGACATAAAATATCTTTATTCACAGACAGTAAAATTAAGAAGTCTTTCCTTAAATTCAAACAGAAACACATATAATGGGCTGAGCAAGATGGCTTCATTTTTCTGCCTTTAGTCTACCCTGGTAAGGATCTGAGAGCGAATCAAAGACAATCATCATTAAGCAAAGTAAGTCTCAAAACCTTAACAGCTGTCTCTAAAATGAGGAAAGAATGGGCATAATAAAGCTATTGAGCAATTTGATGGGAGCTATGGTAGTCTAGAACTTGTAAGGCATTTGGAATGAGGAGCTTGCAATGTTTTGGATATAGTTTGTCTCCTACGAAACTCATTTTGGAGTTGAATAACCATTTTGAGATATTAAGAGGGTGGAAACTTAATCCAAACATGGTGTTTAGAGGTGGGTCCTTTGGGAGGTGATTAAAGTCATCAAGGTGGAATCCCCATAGTTGAATATTAGTGGCTTTATATAAGAAGAGAGACAGAAAGAACATGAACACAAATGTCTCTCATCATGTGATGCCCTATGCTGCTTCCAATCTCTGCCAGCAAGAATGCCATTACCAAATCAGTCTTGGACCAGATCTGTGAGCCAAAACAAACCTCTTTTATAACATACCCAGTTTGTGCTATTACGTTAATCAGCACCAAAAATAAGACTAATACAGAGCCTCACAAGTCTCTGGACCAAGATGTGATCTTAAATACCAAACACTACTTATTCAAAATTTCTGACTAAAAGAGATCAATGGATAGTCAATTTTAGAAGATTCAAATGTGTTACTAAATAGTAGCTACTTACTATTCATAAATGCTTCAAGGAATTCCTTCTTTTTTGGGGAGTAGTACTGGCATTTGAACTCAGACCTTTGTACTTGCTATGCAGGTACTTTACTGCTTGAGGCACACTTCCAGCCAAGGAACTCATCCTTGACTGATTTGGGGTATGTTTCAGTTTCTATCAATGTAGTAAACTCATACAGATTGTCAACAAGGCCAGATGGATCTGAACTGAAAGGTTTTTTTCGACATAGAACTAGGCATTTTGTAGGTTTTTAGGGTATATAAGATCTCAAAGTTTTACCTACCAATTCACCTTAATGGTTAATTACAACTATACCACAGACAACTGACAAACCTAGGTCTAAGTATCTGAGAAAAACTATATGTATCAATTAGAAAATGGAAATATACTACCATTTTTTCCCTTTTCCTTCAGCTATACACTTAATTTTTATTTAATAAAACCCTATTTTGAGAAGTGGCAGATCATAGTTTAGAGGAACAATATATGGAATTGTAAAAAGAATACTGGATTGAAAGTCAGAACACCAATTCTGTCATTAAGCAAATACAAGACTTCATCTATAAAGGTAGCAGATTGAAGCAGGATCCCAGCATTAGGAAGGCTGAGATAAGAGGATTGTTGAGTTTAAGGCTAGCCAATGCTACACAGTCAAGCTTGGTCTGAAAAAAAAAAAAAGAAAGGAAAAACAAAAACCTCAGCAAGAAATGATGGTCCTATATGATAACTTGTTCCAAAAGCACACATAACTTTAAATTACAACTGTCCATTCTCAACCTAATCCAAATACCTAGGGCTCTAAAAGCATTCTTATAGCGCTTCACTAAACCCCTGACAGTCTTAATGTGTATCCTAATTTGAATCGAGCCCTTCATCCAAATGCTTGAATGACCTTGCACTGAGGTACTATAATTTTGTTTACAGATAAAGATTTTTTTCAATACCAAAGAAGAAATAAAGTTGATAAGGAAGACTGAGTTATTGTTCTTTTTCTCAGGAAATCAAAAACTACAAGAAGTGGGGGTGGGAAGAGACAAGCGACAGTACAGTCTTCATAAAAATGTCTACATAGTATCTTTACTTCCTCCTAAGTACTACCACCAGGGTATTTTCTTGCTAAAAACACAGAAAGAGAACATGGTAATACATATCTGTCTACTAAGGAGGATGAGGAATGAGGGATTGCTTGAGCCTATGTGTTCAAAGCTAGCTAGAGTAATACAGCCAGACCTGGTCTCAAAACAAAAAAACATCAAGCCAGGCATGATGGTGCATGCCTGTAACTCCAGCATTTGGGAGACTCTGAAAAAGAAAGATTGCAAATTTGAGGTGAGACTATGTCAAAAAACAAACCAAAAGAGGGGACGATCATACAATAAAAGCACTTTTAATAGGGTGAACACAAATTGAACCCTTCTAGCAGGGACACACACCCCTCATTCAGCTTGCCACCAGTAGTTCAGTCTGAGCAGTAACCCTCCATCTCCTCATGAACTCTTTTCTTCAAAGACTGACATTTCCTCAACAGCTAACAAAGAAAATAGTAGTGGTGGTCAAAAGTTTAACTCTTGTCTAAAAATGGACAACTGCAAAAGAAAGAAAGGGGAGCTAAAAAGGGATGGCAGATATTTTCATATGGTGCAGAGAAATGTTTGGAGTCAGTCTATTAAAAAAATACTATGTGCAAAAAATTCCATCATATGTCCTACAAATACACTACATAAACACATAAATAATTTTTAAGAGTAATGTTATATTGCAAGAGTTATGGAAGCTTTTGATTAGTGTCTGTCAAGAAATATCTTAATAAAAAGGTCCTTTCTTACTTTACCTGGAACACTGCTCTGTGATCTTCTACGACCTGTTCTTCCATTTCTACCATTTGTGAGACAGCTTCATGGAAAGTAAACAATTGTGGAGAAACCTCTTCTTCCTTAAAATAAAAAGTTTAAAAATTATGATATAAAGCTCGTATTTTCAGAGAGTTATTAAAGTATCTTTTTTGCATTTTTTTTTTGGCGGGGTGGCTAGAGGTTAAACCTGGGGGATGCTAAAAAGCACACAGTCTGGCACTGAGTCCCTCAAGTGGTTTTTTAGTGTCAATTTTTAAAGGTCACTTAGAATAAGGAAGTTTGAATGGCAGACTACTAAAATACACATACATGAGAGAAAAAGCCACAGGGTCAAAATAATGTTAACTCTGAATAAGACAACCCAAATTTTACCTTGAGCAAGGAATAATTTTTATTTTGCCCAGGCTTTGCTGCAGAATTACCCTAAAAAGCAATCTCTTTTGGAATAGTCCAACTTTTCAAAAATAAATTTTTTTTGCAGGTTATAAGTATCCTGAGATGCTTTCTTTTCATTAACAATTTACTGCATATACACATAATTTCTGACTTAAGGATGTTTTGTCTTAAAATTTGATGATTTATGATGGCATGAAAGAAAGTATGCACTCAGAAACTGGACTTTGAATTTTGTTTTAAGATAGGGTCTTGCTATGTTGCTTAGGATGAAGTCAAACTGCTGGACTCAAACAATCCTCCTGCCTCAGCTCCCAAGTAGCTGGGACTACAGGCATGCTTGACAGTTTTTACTGAATTGACAAATCAAAATTTTACAATGACAGACACACACCCACAAAAAACAAAAACAAAACATGTACTATGATCTTACAATAAGTCAAAAATTTTTTGGCTTAAAGTTTTTTTCTTTTGGAGTTTTCTTCTCAATGAGTTATTTTTATTTTCTCAAAATGTGCCTTTAGTGATAAAGACAACTATGTAGAAGACCGCCTAAAATTGTTTTGTAAAATACGAGTAGAAAAAGCATTCTTCAAATAAAATACGATTCCAAATGTATGTACAAATTTTGATTACATATTGTAAGTATATATTTGACTCTTTCATCAGTAAGTTATCATCCTAAAAAGTTATACAATCAGGTTAGCCAAAAACCTTTTATATTTTCTTAGGGAAAATATGCATCTGCTTTTTATGAGGACACACTGGCATTTTCTCATATTTTCTTTCCCTCTCTGAAAAACACATAAACATACCTTTACTTGTTTTTTTCTGACTATTTCCTCTTTAAGCCCAGAGTATCTTCTGCCTTTCCTTTGCTTACAGATACTATACAAATTCCTATACTACATAGTGTTTACTTCATTTTTGTCTATACAAACTTCTACTTCTGGAATGCTAATGTATTTGATTATCCATGTATATTGCTTTCATCTCTGGCAATGTCTTAGATTCTATTCCATTTTAATATACCTTTTTAAAAGAATATTGCCACAAAGTCTAATGCTAAATCATCTCAAGTTTAGTTTCCTGGAAGTGCCAAAGCTGAAGAAATTTATACTCTGTGCAGTATGAGTCTACAAAAACTCATTATGTCATACTTAAAATGCCTGCATTAGTTCTGGTCACCTAGCCAACCTCTCCAAATTAAGGCTGTGAAGGCCCAATCAGCTTTGATGATTCTAAGAATGACTACAGTCACTTTCAAAACTTTTGGAGGTAGATGGACTAAGGCTAGGAACTTACTGTCTTCTAAGCTCATAGTTCAAAGAATTCATTTAAACCAGGTTTTCTCAACCTTACAACTACTGACCATTTTTTGGGGAAGTTATAAGGTAGGGGACACTGTACTGTATGGTGTTTAACAGCATCCTTAGCCTAGAAGCCAGCAGTATCACTCCAATGTGACAACCAAAAATATTACCACACATTCTGCCCTAGCCAGGCCAAATCACCTCTGGTTGAGAACAGATGCTGTTAGCCCTGCTTTAGTAATGGACTAATGTGGAACATGGTAACCAAAAGTAAAAAGTAGTATTTTCATTTGTTACTTAGAAAATATCACAACATAACCACTAATTAGGTTGTTTTCAAATACTACTGTATTGCAGATGGCAATGAGTTTAATTGACATAGTATCTGGCATAAAGATGTAAGTTTTAATTCAGGCTTCAGCAATTGCCACTTGCACAAATCTTGGCCAAATTGCTTACACCTCTTCAAATGTCAATTGCAAATACAGCACCACCATATTGAGTTAGGTAATAACTAAATAAAATGCATAGCAAATATATGTCATGTAGAAGCAGCTAGTAAATTTAACATTATGAGAAAATACCATAGTATTATTTTGGGAAGAAAAGAATGATACAGAATATGCATTTCTAAAATGAAATTAAACTACATAGGAAAACTTTATATTCCATACAGAAAAGAATCCTGTCAGTATATTAAAAGCAATTATATCAAAGTATGTATTTGTCTTTTCTTAGGCAAATATTATTTAAGTAATTATGAAACCAAAAATTTAAATCATGCTTTAGAAATTTCAAACATGGAAAAGCAACCAGATTTAATGGATGTCAGCATTTTGCCATGTCTGATTTTTCTCATCCATTTAACACATATGCATGTGGTCATAATTTTTGTTAAGCCTTGTAAATGATGTTTTATCTTAAACTTGTTATTAAAATTTGAATACTGATATAAAATCTGAAAAAAAGTATAGTTTAGAGTGTTGGTAAACCAGAAAGTTGCTTTGGATTCGTGTGTTCTCTGCCCTGCTGTGGTAAGAAAGCCAACCCATAAATGAGTAAGCATGGTTATGTTCTAATACACTTTATTTGTTAAAACAGGTATTTGGCCCACAGGGTACAGTTTACTCACCCCTGCTTTACAGGATAGTTTTCTTTCTTTCTTAATTTTTAGGTGATAGTTTTCATTTACATTCTGTTACTGATAATAAGGTTACATCAGTTACAATTATGTCACTCACATTTTGTTCACAAAGAAGTTTCAGGTCATCTCTTTGAGGGGAACTCCCCACACCCCACTGTGTCTCTAAGTCATCAATCTGGTTTGGTGGATGGTGCATTATTGGACGGACATCACCAGCAGCAGTAGTATCTACAGTCAGTTCTTTCACCCTATAAATATATAAGAATCTAAAATTACGACCCAATGCAAAGAAACTAGAAAATATCAACCTATTCAATATAAAAGCATTTCAATTAACATACTAAGACTGATGATGTCACCTTTCTACATCAAATTTATCTGAACTCTGTGAAAACACTAAGGGGATATTTGGTTAATTCTAGGAGTTTACTTAAGCAACTTTACAATTCAAGTATAATAATTGTATATACTAAGTGAACATTAAAAAGTATGTAGATTCAGTATTTCAGACAAATTATTATTGCCTTACTTGTATAAGACAAAAATGTTAGAAATGCATTTAGATCCATAAATAGAGCACGTCCAAATCAGGGAACTCAATATACCTTACAGATTTTTGGTAGTCCCTAATGCTCAATTAAAATAGCTTAACATGAAATTTTAATGTTTTAAACATTATACGATTTTAATTTCTGTCACTTTGAAAACATTTACTCATCATATTAAATTTACACATTTGGGAAACAAACAAGAGGACTCCTGTTAATTTCATTTGCAGATAATAGTAAATATGCAAAAGTGACATCATCCTTCAAAAAATGAGGGAAATAGGAAGCTTGAATTATAAATCAACATTTTAAAGCACACAAATTAATAAAGGACATAACAATGCAGACCATGCAGTACAATTCACCTGCCAAATAAAATGAAAATGAAAAATGGCGCAGGACAAAAGAAGTAAATGAAATGTGTGTATGCAGACAATTCCAAAGACGCTATTAAAATAAACATCTTATGTACAGAAAGAACTAGACCTGGTAATCGAAGGAGAAAAGTCGTCATACTCATAAGAAGGAGAGAGATCAGGGCGACTGCCACTACCCTGTGAGAAGGGAATGTCTGATGGACTAATTCCAAACTCCTTTACTCTGCAGTACCAAAACAGCAACAAATTAAAAGAAAATGTTCTTGTCAAGACAGCAATGCACATTTCAAGTTTTCATTTAATACTCTTTTGTTTAGAAAAGGATATTAATATGATTGTAACAATATATTTAGAACATTATTTTACAAATGCTCCATTTTAAGACATTTTTGAACCTTTTAGTCCTGTTGATCTCCTACTCAAAGAACCTAAATCCTTCCTTTCTGGTATATTTTCTCCTTTTCTCATAGTGCTTCCTAGAAATTTAACTAGGCCATTACTTAAAAACGCCTCTTATTTTAACTCCGTGACCACTCAAATTAATTTTCTCATGAATATTTTGTTTGTTAGCATTAGTGAGTCCTCAATACTTTTGGAGTCCACAAATTGAACACAAGAGAACTAAGTCCTAAATGTCTTAAGACCACCATTATTTACAATGAATTAACTTCTGCTTATGTTTAGCTACAAAACAGCCTTCATATGATTGAGAAACTAGTAGCTCAAATTTTTGTGGTTGATTCAGATGAAGAACCATGATTGAGAATAGCTGTTGGGGAAGGAATTTATACTGTTTTTGTTAATGTCTGCAATAGTTATATTTAACCAAACTGTGACTTTCCTCTCCCCATCTTAAGTGATTTCCTATACCTATTGTCCTTCTTTTGGTCTAACCTCTTTCATATCAGTAGGCAATATTTATTAAATACTTCCTATTTAGCAGGTATTAGAATTAATATTTTTTAGGCAGTATATTAATGCAGACCTTACAAGAATCTTGTGATATTATTTAGCTTTTAAAAAGATGAAAGATTTATATGATCTGAAGAGAAACCAGAGTATTATTTCCAGTTTTTAGATGAGAAAACTGACTCAGAGAAATAAAGTATCTTACCCAAGCTCATTCAATAAAAATGTGATGTAACTGAAATTCAAACTTAGCCCTGAGTATAAATCCTATGCTATTTAAACACTTCAGTATACTAACTAAATGTATATAATTCTCATGACTTCTCTTAGGCTGAACCGAACATATCAGCAATTTTGATTTTGTATGTCAAAATTCAGTGAAATACTAGTAACTTCACACAGGTTAAATTTATATAGACACATACATATTTTCTACTTACAATTTTTCTTTGATCTATTGCTAATATCTACCATCAAAGGTTCAATACTAGCTCCATCTGCCCTTTCATCCTTATTTTTTGGAGACAGGTCTTGCTGTGTGTTCCAGGCTGGCCTCAAACTCAAGATCCTTCTGGTCTCAGCCTCCCAAGTGCTGAGATTACAGATGTGTGCTAACACACCTAGCTCAGCCCTAGATCCTTTAACACAATCACTTTGGAAAGTGTATTTACCATACACATGCTGATAAATATGAATTTCTAATACTAACTTAAACACTTTTTACTCCCAAACCTATTTCTCATCTGCCTCAGAATCTCCTAATTTAGATACTCTACATTAGGCTCATCCAAAAATTTTTTCTTGTATCTGATACCTTCTTGTACAAGTCATATAAAAAGGGTCAACTCTAACAAAACATTATACTTGGACCTAAATGAAATAAAGGAACAATTAGATACAGATTAAGAATCCCTAACTCAAAAAAGCATGAAATCCAAAATGCTTCAAAACCTGAAGGTTTCTCAGTGCCAACAGGACAACCACCAGTAGAAAATGCTACACCTGAGCTTTTGTGATGAGTGAGTCAAAATGTAGTTACGTTAAAAATATTTTTATAAAATTACCTTCTGGCTATATGTATATGAAACATAAATGAATTTTGTGTTTAAACTTGGGTCCTGTCCTCACAGTATCTCATTATGTATACGCAAAGACCCCAAAATTTAAAAAAAAAAAAAATCTGAAATACCTGTGATCTCAATCAAATGCTTGACCTGTACTGCACTTTCATATTATAGGGAATTCTTTATAGTTAAAAGTTTTAGGACACAGGAGGATTTTGTTTCAATTCTGTAACATGGCAAAAATATACCACATTAAGTTATTCCTTCTCTCCCATGAATAATCCTTGAAGTAAGAGTCATTTTAAATTAATGATAAAAATCCCATATACCAAAAATATTAATACAAAGACAAATCAGAAGTAACAATAAAGGTTTGCAGCTAGGATCTTATAATTCAAACTTTAAAAAGGATTAATTAAAATTTGAGTACTGCTAAATTTTATTACATTTTGAAGAAGCTATTATATTTTAATACCTTGATACAAAAGGTCAATAGGTTTACACTTTTGTGGATGTTCTGGTTTTGTCTTTGTGGTGGGGATTGAACACAGGGCCTAATGTATGTTAGGTGAATGCTCCACCACTGAGCTATGCATCAGTTAGCCAATAGGTTTATACTTTCCAACAGTGTTATTACCATTAAAAAGCTTTCAAGAGCTGGAGCTATAGCTCAAGAGGTCCTAAATTCAAATTCCAATTCCACACACACCTCTCCTCAGTTGAAACAAAAGAAGCAAAGAACAAAGGGGATTATCTAATAGCTACATATGTTGTTCAAGGATACGCTCAGTAGTAAGCCTACTTTTAAAACGTGAAAAAGAAAAACGAGAAAATTATTCTAAGGAAGTCAGGTTACTGCAGGGTAGATTTAACAGGTTTGGACCAAGTTATTTTGAATTTAGATCAGTAAACTCTGGGAGACTGGTAATATTTTATTTCCTGATCTAATGACAGTAGTTTTCATGTATATGTATTTTACATTTTAAGAAAACTGAAAATAAAATTTTCATTATGATTAAAATGAAGAAGCAGGACACGTTCTGATGAGCAAAATTAAGACAATGTATACTTTAGAATTCTGAGGAATTTTAGAATTAGATTACAAAGACTTTTACTTTTAGATTATAATCATAAATGTATTTAAAACTATGTAAATAGCTACTCAAAACAAGAGTAGTGAGTACAAAAACTCTATGGAATAAATGCCCAGTCCCAGGGCATTTGAAGGTATTCATGACTGTAAGGAATAATCTGCCTTATGTGTACAATGCATTTTGTCCTTCCATCTGTAATGATCTAGTTGTTTATTAAAGTGGAAAATACTATTGACATGAATAATAAAATACAATACAATTATACTGTATTTTTACTAAAACTCTAGGTTCCCCATAGAACAAAACAATTTAAGAAATACAGAATAAGCACCTTATTTTCAAAAGCTTCCCCCCAGCACTGGGGTTTGAACTCAGGGCCTCCTGCTTGGTAGGCAGGCACTCTACAACTTGAGACACTCCACCAGTCCATTTTAAAGTCTTAATAGGAAGAATATGCATGACTCAAATGTAGTAAAACATAAAACAAAACTTCTTGAAATGGAAAAACATAATCATGTTCTAGAACAGAAGGTAAATTTTACTAAAGATACCAGTCACTTCCCTAATCACACAATACATTCTCACTCGTTACAACTTTACAAAATGAGTCTAAATACTGTCATCATAAATATATGTAAAAATTTTGTTTTGAAAATTCGAAGAACAATGTAGTAAAGTTTGCCCTACTAGGTTTTTCTTGTTTGTTTTTGAGATAGGATCTCACTATGCAGTCCATTCTGATGTGGAACTCAAGATCCTCCTGCCTCATCAGCCTCCCCAGGGCTATAAGATTACAGGTATGCACTACACCACACCTGGCTGCCTATTAGATATTAAATCATACTAGATACTACACTAATTTAGTATTAGATTTCAAATTTCAAAACGGAAAAAACATCTGTCATACCTATTTGCATATCTTAATGTATTAAGAGTATTTTCACAGGATGCCATTCCTGGAGAGATTGTGGCAATCTATAAGGTAAAAAATGCAAAGTTAAAATGTAAATAATTACGACAACAGTCCTGACAAATAACTCCTTTAGGTCTAATCTTATAGTGGTTATTTAAAAATATTTGTTAGTGATTTCTTTTCTCTAATTTGCTATCTCTTATCTGTAAACATATAATTAAGAAGTCCATTTAAAAATAAAAACCTCTGAAGAAACCAGTTATTATTAAAAATCCAGCAGACAATGCTGGTAAATACTTACAAGGGAACAGCACTGAGTGACTATGCACTTTGGTCTAATTTTTTTTTTTGGTGGTACTGGTTTTGAACTCAGGGCTTTACACTTTCTGGGTAGGTGCTCTACCACTTGACCACACCTCCAGTCCCCCAATTTATTTTCTTTTAATAGCCTTTTGCCAGAGGGCAAGCTCGGCTGCTGTCACATATGACAACTAAAACTCTAGCAGAAACTTGGAGTATTACTGCTTAAGAAATTAAAGGGCATAATATGGGTATGGGGACCACAGCAGCTTTCCCAGGAGGGAGAGAAACACTGATAAGGAAAACCCAAATTTTACATGTAACTGCCCAAATTGTTGGCTGACCCCTGAGGTAGGCATTCACAAGACAAACTACAAGCAATACAGCTAAGTCTAAAAAGATTACAATTTTAACTGCTGCCTAAACCAGGGAAACAAGAATTTGGGGTAAGTTCTGTCATGTTAATGTCTATTAAAACAAGTAAAGACAATAATCTTAAGAGGAAATTAACAGAAGAGCTTCTACAAGGTATTTCTTCATAATGTTTATACATGTAACTTCGATGTGGAATTAGTA